TTCTCCAAACGTACACCACCAAGACCATATATATCGTCGTCTTCCTCCTCCAACTCCACCATATACATATCTTATTCATGCTTTAGTTGAGCATGGCCACCTAAATTTTTGTCATTAATGGGTCCATTTTGCATTATTTATTCTTTATAAGAAACACTTTTCATTCTTTCTTACTTTTGCTTTTCAATATCTATAATTTATATGAGCATCTTGAAGTGAGTCGATTATGAGGTATTATTCATGGAGGAATATATATGATTGAGATATATCATCAACCTTATTTGGGCGAAATGATATGACGATGTTTGGGATGTGGGAAGCAGAGAAAGCGATATTGGTGAGGTTCAATCTGAAGACGGATTTACATGTTGCATCAGTAATACGATCTCAGATTGAGCCGCGCCAATATCACTTTTTTACTTTAAATGGAGATTTTTCCCATCTCATCTGAGACATATATTCTCTATTTTGGGAATACATATATCAAACACATATATCATCCCTCCCTTGTAGGTGCAACAACAAGGATTCTTATCCAGGTGACATATAACTGCAGTTACTTCACTTTCTTTCTCATGATGGCATGCAGGTATATATGTATATATATAGATATATAAACGTGCTCGTGTTTTTGGTGTTCTTCCTTCTCAAGGTTCAATTTCTCTCATTGCTCTCGAGATCGTTTGCTTCCAAGGGACAGAGAGGTAGGGAAATGAATTTAATTTAATTTCAGTTTGGGATGAATCAGCTCTTCTGCAAGTTTGTGGCTTTGTTTATGATTGATTCCTGCAGATATCTCATTGATCAAATGTTACTCCTCTGGTCCTTAATATATGACCTAATTGTTAAGTTAATTTTGATTCTAAATATAAGAGATACTTCTCATATTTATCAATTTTTTCTAAATTGTCCCCATGAATACTCTCTCAACCATAATCAAGTAAGTAAGGGAAGAAAGATATTCAAGAAGATGATTATGGTGTTTTAGGAAAAAACATATTATATTTCTTATAATTAACTAACTTACCTAACTTTCTTAATCTAATTAAATTAGTTAAATATGTCTTATATTAGGGACCGGAGGAGTATATCACAAAGGCGACTTGATAAAGATGCAATCAATCTGTGATTTGCCAAATCATCAATTTGTAACTTGATTTTACTACCGATCATATGAAAGTTCATCATAGTACATCTCTACTGTGTTTCTTCATTAATTCGGATGTTGTTATATGGGCTTAAAAGCTAGCTAGCCTAGGTTCACTGAGAATATATATAGGTTATTATAATATATACATATATATATATATGTATATATTATAATAACCTATATATATATGTATGTATATATTATCCTGAATTTCTCATGATTATTTTTCCTCTTATTGAGATGAATAATTGAAGGGATGGGCAGATGTAATAAGCGTGGAAGATATTGTTGTTGCAAGCCTAGATATATGGCATCATCTTGTAGTTGTGTGTAGGGAACAAAAATGAGGAAACATGGGAAAAGTTCAATTTACTGTTGTAGGTACTGATATGTGTACATATACATCATATATATATATATATATATATATATATATCCACACACACTTCTCTTTTATTTTCTTCTTCTTCTTTTTTTTCCTGTTTTACCCTTCTTTTTTCTTATTCAACTTGTTTAATGTTAGTTTGAATAGGCAATTAGCGAGTCTGTAATTGTAATGATATATATATGGCATCATAATCAAGTGATTAATTTGAGCGGAAAGAGATTTGTGTTGGGGTAGATGTTGATCAATTATTTTTGGCAATAATACCTTTAGTTTGCAATTTTTATATTGACACGAATTGCAGCCTTCTTATTAAAAAACAAATTACAAATGACCTCTATTTTTCCATTATAAAGGACCTGTATTGAAGGTTATAGTTAATTAATAAATATATCATATTTTGCTAATTGAATTAGTTAGTAGCATCAAATATAACATATCTAATTAGTGTGTATATATATATATAACATATCTGAAATTGTTTTAAAAAAGTGAATATACTGAATTGTGAAGATCAATTATTTTTGGCAATAATACCTTTAGTTTGCAATTTTTATATTGACACGAATTGCAGCCTTCTTATTAAAAAAATTACAAATGACCTCTATTTTTCCATTATAAAGGATCTGTATTGAAGTTTATAGTTAATTAATAAATATATCATATTTTGCTAATTGAATTAGTTAGTAGCATCAAATATAACATATCTAATTAATATATATACATAACATATCTAAAATTGTTTTAAAAAAGTGAATATACTGAATTGTGAAGATCATATTTTTATTATGTAATTATAATATGAATATTAATAGTAAAAATACAATGAAGTTCATATATATACTTTTTGTTTAACAAAAACAAGTTGGAACCTTTTTTTCCCCTTATACTCAGCCCGTAATGATGATTTAATTTGTTTAGGAGATGAAGCGACGTTGCCGCTCATTGTTTTCACGTAGCCCATTAACATGTATTTACTCAATTTCTAAGGAACAAAAAACAGGAGATTTAAAATTAAAAGTCTTATGAGTCTGGTCATAGATGCAGTGGGTCGATTCCTGAGGGTTAAAGCGCTTGGGAAGGTATATTCGCAATTTAATGAAATTGAAAGATTTCTACTTATTCGGCTAGAAAAAAAGAATTTACTTGTTATGCTCCCGTATTTATAGGGACTAGTCCCAGTGGATCATGAGTTAGTTTTTCTGCCCTTGAATCATAGGTGAGTCCAACTCTTTTTCTAAAATTTTCTTACCAAAAAAAAAGAAGTCTTATGAGTCTCATTTTATGTCTATTTATTTCATTAGTTAAATAATTAAACAATTAAGAAAATCCAAATCCGATTAACCATTATTCCAATCTTTGCAGTCTACCCTCCCTATGATTGACATAAATTTATCTGAACTTGACCCTTAATTCATAACAGTATAATCCTATATATATTTAGACATTCTTGACCCATTTTCTTTTCTTTTTTTTTCCTTTAAAATTTTTTGAGATAATGCCGTAATTGAACAGTTAGAATGCATTGGAGGAAAGATTAAGTCTCCTCCTAATAAATTATACTCGTGATAATATTTTTTTAAAAAAAATAACAAATGACCTACTCAGTGACATGCATAGAACTGTAAGTACTTTTCTCAAGAAAAACACGTCAAAGAGATGGAGGGATATATATATATATAATGAGTTACCTCACATTCCATGCAAAACATATGGCCATATTCAACTCTTATTAATATAAGAAATCGTATTAAATAGAAAAATGGCACATAACATACCAATAAAACTAGTATCACAGTCCAAAACAAGGGGACATTTAAAAGGCAAGTAATACTATATGGATTTTATAAATGGATCTGATAGGAAAGAAACTACTTTTTGGTTTTATGTGGGGAAAAAAAACAGTGGAAGTGACATGTAACATTGTCAAAAAGAGCATAGTCAGAAGGCAATAATAATCTTCCAGGCCAAAAAAAAAAAACAAGAAGAAGACAATAATCTTAGTTTTAAGAGTGGAAGATCCAAGTGAGAGTCAAAATGAAGATAATATAATTTTGAGGTCAGATTTAACATGTTATTGTGAAACAATGTGTTCTCCTCCTCCCTGGTTTGGTCCACTCACAGATATTAATAAATTTTGCCCACTGAATCTTGTTGCTTTCATCTGCTTCAGTCTTCACCCCCACATGCTCATATAATAAGGCTTTTTTGACAATTGCGTCGCACCGAATTTTGGCCAATTATGAGATTGCATTCTTTCCATTGTCATTGTCTACCACCCTGCTTAATTGAGCATGCTTTCATTAACTAAATCTCCCTTATATCTAATAATTATACCCATACTTTTAGGAAAAACTACCAATTAAGGACCTAATGGCAATTGGCAAATATATCTGAGGAAAAGGACTTTGAAATTAAACCGAAGAAGAAGAAGAAAAAATCTACAACTGGTATTTCATGTTCTGCAATTTTTTGATGTTGTTATCCGGTTGGGTTATATTCGAACATTGTCGAACCCACTTAGAAATAGATTTTTGAAAAGCGTTTTCTGCATTCATACTTGCTCAAGCTCAAAACCACATGTTTAAGTGGGCAAAACTCCTTTCATTAGAATCAATTCCATATTCTGTAATTTAGCTTGTGATTTCCATACTTCTTTCGAGATTTTTAGCTAGAGAATTATAACTTTTCAAAATATCTTTACTATGAGCCTCTTACTTCCAAATTATGACACCAAAGTTTGGTCCAATGAGCTTCTTTTGACTAAATTTAATAAAAAAATAGACCGGTCAAGATATTCTGAGACTTTGCGTAATCCCTCAGCCTCAGGCCAGGAAACTTAAAAGCTAAGGACCGGCTGGGATTGAGGAAAGAGTGATCGAACAAAAGAGAGAAAAAAGCATCAAGCATGATTGGTACTAAAAGGGGCATGTGTCTCCATAACTGACCGCAAGCATATTCTATAAATAATTGTTTACTTTGATGTAAAACACGCAACTTTATGGGGCTACCTTTCACTGAAATTACGAATAAGTTTAAAGGTCAGGTTCTGCTTTCCAATTCAAATTCTCACCCAACACCTGCATTAACAAAATGCAGTCCACACACATAATTATGCTCCCCATAAAGAACATTATATGCCTTGTTAGTTGGATTCAAAAGCATATATGCTTATTTCGGTGGATTTCTCTCCAACACTACCCCTTGCAGATAGATGCCTTTTCTGGGTTTCACAGGTAAACAAGTGTCACTGAAAAACTTGGATGATTCCTTCTACGGCTAAACCGTAATAAAAATATACATCACTTTATATTACTGATCAGGGTGTTAATAGCATGCACAGATCTCTTTTCAACAATAAAGTATTAAACATAGCTTTGAATGAAACTGGAGATGCAAGGTAGTTCATTTGTATGCAAGAAGAGGGATTCTATAGAATTAGAGAAAGCATAAAAACCAGACCACTAAAGTAGAATAACGGTATTCCCACAGCTCAAAGCAATTGATTAAGGTTGCTGCCGCAAATGATGTTCTCAAATGTAAGGCCTTTCATGTACTTTTACCAGACTACATCAATTACAGCATAGGCAAATGGCAATGAAGGCATGTTCCACATTGATGGTCAGCTAGCTCTAATAAAAAGGGCTTAAAGAAGATCAGTATAACATACTCTTAAATGGTTCTTTTGGCCCTGATGTATCTTAAACTCCCAAAAATTACCGAAGGCTGAACTACCCATCTCCACACAACATAAATAACAAAGAAGGCATCCCGGCCTTTGTTTCAATCAATGATTGAGCCAGCAAAACAGAGAAGCAAATCACTTCTCATCATAATCATCATCATCGATGATGCTTGCTGGTGTTCAAGGGAGAGGTACCCTTGATGCTCTTGGATTGAGTGTAGGCAAACTGTGAATGTGGAGTTCCATCTGCTTTCTTTTTTCTTCTCCCTTGTTGAGATGATGAACGGGAGTGGTAAGATAAGATTGCAAGATCATTGAGATCCTGCAATGGAGTCAGAGCCTTCACAACCTCATCCATGTTAGGACGGCATTTGGGGTCCCTACTGAGGCAATTATAAGCTAACTGAGAAATTTTCTGCACCCCTTTGAGAGAATAGTTTAGTTCCAAGCGAGGATCCACAAGTTGGTATAGCTTTCGCTTGTCAGCTAAATATGGCCGAGCCCATGACACCAGATTTTGTTCCCCACTAGGGCGCTTCTTGTCCATAGATCTCCTCCCTGTTAAAATCTCAAGTAACACGACTCCAAAGCTATAAACATCACTTTTAGCTGTCAAGTGTCCTGGTAAAAAAGAAACAGAAATCAAATGAATAGTTGAATCTCAAAGGTCTCAGAAAGGCCTCTACACTTAAAGTGAAACATTTGCATACGATATATAAGCTTTTTTGATGGGTCATATGATCAAACTGATCTTACATTACATTCTAGGACCAATTTCTTTGTTTTTGGTAGTATTGAAGTGAGCAGCAGCAGTAGTAAAACAATTTTTATCCCAATGCATAGTGCCAAAAAAGCCTACTTGAATTATTTGCATCTGCTGCTTAGAGAAAGGTTTTAGCAGTAATTATGACACGCTATGACTTGTTGCACAATATAAGAAGAAGCCTTTGTGGTGTGTCAGATTCCAAGAGTTTTCTTATCACACATTAAGCTATCTACAGATATCTTCCTACCTGTCATGACGTATTCAGGAGCAGCATAACCATAAGTTCCAACAACTCTGGTAGAAACATGTGTCTTGTCTCCTTGAGGCCCTGCTTTAGCTAGACCAAAATCTGAGAGCTTGGCATTATACTCCTGTAAAAAACTTCAAATTAATAATCAATGAAACACACTTAAAGGTCTCAGGCATTGATCTAGTCAGTAACCACATACCGAATCAAGCAAAATGTTTGATGTTTTAAAATCTCTATAAATGACTGGTTCTGGACCACTATGGAGGAAGGCCAGCCCTTTAGCTGCACCAAGGGCTATCTTTACCCTATTGGACCATGGAAGAGGCACAGTTCCTTCAAAATGCACAAACCATCAGTTCGTTTCGTAAGAAACAAGTAGAGGATCAGAAGAGATCAGACAGTCATGAAGTATTCCCGATTCATCCACTTCAAACAGTTCACAGGTCCCTGCTTATGTTGTACTTCATTATGGTCTACTGTGAAAAAGGTCTTGCGTGATATAATAATCTGTAAGCCAGCATTCCTTTTTTCTAGGAAGAGGCGGAAAAACCATTTCTGAATTCAAGAAACCATATTTAATTACCACAATGAAACAATTCACACACAAAAATTCCAAGGCTTATGCTCTTCAAGAAACTGCAGGAAATTATTTGCAGTAAAAATCTAGAAACCATTGACAAACAGCAACCGCTCAAAAAAAGTCACTTATATCTCATCAGTAAGGCCACGTATGCCACGTATTATATGAATATCCATGTAATTAGTTCACGTCAAGGCAAAATATCAGCTGTGCTCACTTCTGAAAAGATGATTTTCCAGGCTTCCACGGGTCATAAACTCATAAACAAGAAGTCGCTGATCATCTTCAATACAGTAACCAATAAGTTTCACAAGGTTAGGATGGTGAAGCTGTCCGAGGAAGTCAACTTCAGCCTGCATCAACGAACCATGATGTTAAAATATATCTGCAGTATCTCTTACGCAATTCTCTTGTAGTATCAATCTACTAACCCAAACAAAGCAGATATTTTACTAACCACCCATTCTCTATGGCCCTGAAGACCATCTGGCTTCAAGCTTTTCACAGCCACTGTAACCCCTGAACCTGGTTTGGCCGGGGCTGTCCCATTTTCTTCTATCCATCCCTTGAACACAAACCCGAACCCGCCTTCCCCAAGAATGCTATCAGGTCTGAAATTTCCGGTCGCAGCTCTTAGTTCCTGAAAAGAAAATTGAAGGAGCTGACAAGGAGCCCTGTTTTCCTCAGGTTGGGATATGGTATTATCATAAGATAGTTGAGCATCATTGGGAGGACATAATTCTCGATTACTAGCATTCAGGTAACGCGTCTCAGTCGCTGCATCAAGATAAAGAATGTGTTTAAGATTAGGCATCAGAAAATGTAATTGGCACTAACACATAAAACCGATGACAAACTTTTCGACAATTCCAACAGTACTAGATTTCGCAATTCAATTGGGCTTAAGTCGAAAACAGGGAAAATCATAAAATCCAAGAATCGATCACAAAATTTCGTTCACGCCTGTAACGGAATGAACTCCTTGATTTCACAAGAGGGGCTAGTTACCTTTAGGTGCTCAGTGGTTTTTCTTTCAGAGAAATTAAGCAGTTTGCGAAATTTGAAGTGATAAGAACAGAAATGTTCGCCATGATTCTTGGAAAGCAGAAAAAATTAATCCTTTTACGCACCATCACATAATTGAACGAAAAAATGCTCACCAAAAGACTCTTTGCTTGAAAATTTCTAGAGTATGGGCAAACCCGGATCCAAATCAAATTTCCGTAAAACTCTACAAAATTATAGCGGATTCTCTGGGAGTATGGAGTACCAAACATGAAGAGCACCAGAAACTAGCAGTACTATGATCAGAGGAGACTCATAAGCGGGCAAAAATGGGAGCATTTTCGAGATGTGCCCATTACTCCTTCAGATTCAGAAGAATATATATATCTTACACGATTCAAATATAGATAATAATCGTAGATACCTGCATCATAAACGAGACTAGTACGAGGAATAGTGCAAGCAGAGTCTCTAGGAGCTGAGGGTTTGCACGCACCTCTAACGCCGCGTTTTAGAACATCCCAGCACCCACACTTCTTCTCCATGGCCCTTGTTGGTCACAACTCTCATGGGATTGCCATGAAATTACATACCAGAGAGACACGCGAGAAGAAGAAGAAGAGATCAAACATGGGGTGGGTCGAAGGAAAGGATGAAGAGAGAAAGAATCGAAAGAGAAGAAGGGGCAGAGAGAGAGGAAGGGAGAGGAGGTAGCGTTGGTGTTTGTGTTGGTGAAGGTTGCTACTAGTGTTGGAGATTGCAGGCATCATCATCGCCATCATCGCAGAGTGTACAAAAAGAACTTTTTCCCACCACCTTTTGTGTGGGGATAGGAACGAGACACTCCCTCTCCAGCTCTGTTTTACCCCCCTCTTTTACCTCCCTCCCATATTTTCTCATTCCAAAATTAATTAAGTAAAATAAAATAATATATTTTACTCTTTATTGTTTCAAAAAAATTATACTATTATATACTAATTCCTTCCTTTATAGGTATATAAACAGTTATACTACTTCCGATTCTTGATATAAGAGTTAGTTGACTAATTTAATTAGATTAAGAAAATTAGTTAAATTAGTTATTTGTAATAAATTATGTTATCTTTCTTAAAGTATCATTCCTAATCAAATGTCGTTGTTAGAACTACTATTATTATAAGGACTATCTTTAAAAAATAGATAAATATAAGAGATAAAATAGATTGGGGTCTTATATCTAGAATCAAAATAAAAATTAAATGAGTTCTCGTATTAAGAATTGGAGGGAGTATTATCAAATAAGAAATATTTAAAAAATTTTAAAAACTTTAAAAAATTCTAATATTGAGGAAAAAATACTTGACATACACGCAAACAGGTCAATATTCATAAACCTCGTCTAAACGTGATATGCGACATTATTGCCATGAAATTAATAAGATTATCAGTTGTGCATGAAAGTGTAAAATTACATATTATATGTTACTGAGATCATATAAGTAATATAAAAGTTGATCATAAATATTTTTGTGAGTCCTAGATTGTTTTAATCCAAATAGGGAGTGGTGAAAAATGTGCTTGAATAGTATTATTTTTATATTAATATTGAAAAGGAAAAAAAATCAATCATGTCTGGTAAAGTTTTGGCATTTTGAGGGGGCATCATCAATCAACCCCATGATCCCACTCTTGCGGTTAATTTGAAACAGTTGCAAATAAGCTTAGTCTCTATTTAATCATTCGGATTCTCCCCTGCTTTAACGATATTGTCGTCACAAATTAACTTTGCATCTTCTTAATTATCTTCCATTAAATAATTAATAATCTCTCAGTACAAAACTTGGAATTATATGTAATCAACTCGCTGCTACTATGGCAAGTATTCCCATAAAGTTATATGTCTGTCGCGTACAATTGTCGGGTTTCTTTTTATTTCTTTTTTGCCTTTAAGCATTATACAGTACGATAAAGGAATTAAATAGTTCAGAAATTAGATAATGAATACAGAGAGATAATGCATCCCCCACCAAATTAAAAAAAGGGAGGAATAAAATTGAAATTTAAGCCATTATCCACAGAAATGACATATTATTCACTAGATTACAAAAGAATACATATATATTTATATATATAAATAATATCTTGTCGATCGCACGCAGAGTATTCATGCAACGGCTGGTAAATTAATAGTGATTATTGTTATTTTTTATCCATATTATGTCAGCCTCCGAAAATAATTGAAGATTTACGTGCTGAAATGTAAAATTCTTTAAACAAGTGTTTTAGAAAAATTTATACTATTTCAACTCCCCAGTGTAAAACTTAATTAACTAATTTGAAGAAATTAAAGAAATTTAATAAATTACTTTAAAATATTGATATTTATTATTTTTTTCAAATGAATTTATCTGACTGATAAAATGATATATAATCTAATACTGTAATTAAATAATTTATGAGTATTTAAGAGAGATCAGGTAACTCATGCAATAATTAAATAATTTATTTAGTTTTTTTTAGCCTCTTCAAAGTAGTTAACTAAATCTTATATTAGAAAAAAAAGAATTGTACGAAGTGCATGAAGATATAGGGTCAGGTTCATTATTTTTATTATTATTACATATAGGGTCATGTTCTTTCCGCCTAAGAGTACAAACACTTCTGTTCAGTCTTTCTTATTAAGCATGATGTTTTGAGTTTAACCCCTTTATGAGTATGATTAGCATGTGAGTTCATTCTATCTATCAGGTGAATAATATTTATAGAAAAAAAGAAAAGAAACCAGAGACATTATATTACTGTTTAAATCTAGGTAGATATTGCATCTTGCATATGAAATTTATAAAATAAACTACGTTATTCATAAATTATGAGTAAAATTTATTATCAATTTTATAATCTAGGCTGATGTTAGTACGAATTTATTTACATGACAATATAATGCTTCATACTTATGCACAAGGAAAAAATCTCAGAGAGAAAGCAGACAATTCAAAGACTTATTATTAGTTGGTCAAAACTAATAGAAAAAGGTGAAGAGCATAATTTGAGTGGCAATCACAAGTCTTTCACCGGCCAAGGAAGCTATATATATATATATATATATATATATATATATGAGTCCATTTGAATTAACAATAGAAAAAAAATACTCCTCCGGTCCTAAATGTAAGACCCTTATACTAGTGTGTATAAGGGTCTTACATTTAGGACCGGAAGAGTAACTTATTTACAATTTGATTTTTAAAAAAGTTAGACTAGATAAAGTTTAAATTAAATAATGTGAACCGTGTTCCGATTAAATTTTGTAGAAGTTAGTTTGTAAAAGTTAACTTGGGTAAAAAATTATTTAGATTATGAGAGAATAATGGGAGGAGTGAGAGAAAAATAATGATAGAATAATTTGACAAATATAATTATAAGCACGACTGGTGCTTCAAAAACCTACCTCCCTCATCTTAACATTAATCACGCATTTCCATCGTTTTCAACTTCTAAGTGTGATGATCCAAAAACTCTCCCAAACAGGCTCCAAATAAGCTACTTATGACTTACCAATAGATACCATGTTATACACACTCTCTCCCTTTCGAGTTAGACAAATGCAAGATAAGAGGGATACATTTAACTATATACATGATACTCTTCCGGTCTTTAATATATGACCCAATTGTTGAGTTAGTTTTGGTCCTAAATATAAGACCCATTTCTCATATTTATCAATTTTCTCTAAATTACCCTTATAAATATTTCCTCAACCATAATCAAGTAGAAGAGGGAGAGAGGTATTAAGATAGATGATTATGGTGTTTTGGGAAAAACATGTCACATTTCTTATAATTAACTAACTTACCTAATTTCCTTAATCTAATCAAATTAATTAAATGGGTTTTATATTAAGGACCGGAGGAGTATCATTTTTTGTGACAAAGCATTTTTTTTTACTCCTGAATTTATTTTTCATTATTTATTTATTGGATGCAGTAGAGAGAATAAGAGCAGGGAGGGGGTGGTGCTTGGTGAGAGGTCATTTCAAAGGATCAATCAAAACCAGAAACAAAATTGTAATATTCTAATGGGAATGATGCTTGTTGAGGGGATGAAAAGCAAATGAAAATCCTATTCTTTTTTCCACAATGTCTTTGCAACTTGACGTGGCCCCCCCTGTTGCAAAATTAAGTGATGCCCATTGCCGGTTGCCCCCACTACTCCCTGTGGGTCCCCCTATTCATTTTTCTTTTTCTGCATTCACCGCCCTACACACACTCTAATGTTATCTTTACAAAAATAACGTATTCCTTCTCAACCAAGGGGGTGTTTGTCGCCTACGTGCTTCTTAAAAATATTTTTCATAAATCAAAATAAATTTTTTTGCATATTTATTTTGTATATTGTAAAATTTTTCTAAGGTTATGATTTGGTTTCTATCTAAACACCCTTTAAATCATAGTAACCCAATTCATTTTATACAGTATAAAATCAACTCAACTATCGACAATTCATATATTCTTAATGTAAAAGTTAACTTAGAATTTGATTTGATTTTAAATCTAAGACTTCGTTTCACTTTATCTTCCAAATTTAATAATTTATAATTGGTTTTTTAAAATAGCCCTGTTGATTACATATGTTAAGGGGTTTGCATCCTAGTCGTGATTAAAATGATGTTTTAAGAAAATCAATATATATTTATTAACTAGTTTTTTTAATTTATTCAAATTATTTAAGTAGCTTTTATATTAAGGATTAGATGTAATACGAGTAACTTGCTATAAAAAAAAAAATTTGCAGGGCTGAGCAAATTTTCACAAGGATCGGATGGCACACCATGCAGCTGGTTCCATGATCACCCCTATGAATAATATGACTTGTATCAAATTTTAAATATAGGCTTATGATTTAATATAAAGAAGTTAGTGAGGAGGAATATATGGGCAAATCAAGATTATTATGTTATATTTTTATCTATGTAGTTTAGGACAAGTCACTTGACTGGAAAGGAGAAAGAGGAGGGAGGGTAGATTTTTCTGAGGGTATATGATATAATAGGCGTTGGAGCACAATGTTACGTGACGCATCTTTGAAATTGGATAGCCACCCAGATTATTTTTTGGACTCCATTTTCTTTATTAAGAAAAATGTGACAGTGATGTGCTGTCAATAGTTAAAATTTTAAAACCGAAAATTCATGAAATTTTGGTTCCCCATGGCTTCAATTTTTTTGGGACTCCATTTTCTTTATATTTAAATAGACTTTTACTTTTAAAAAAAGTCAGACGATGTATTAAAGAGTCTATTTCAGTATTTTCAGATATTAAAAAAAGTCAAAAATCAAAAACTAATTTTTTTTAAAAAAAGTTCATTCAAATCTAAAGTAATTTTTGAGCAGAAATTAATGTATTAAGCATTGTCTTTTTCATTAAATTGTCCTTTTTAATCTTAATTAAAGCTTCCTAACACAATCACGAACAAACATTCCATCGTCATTCACTTTAGAGATGCCATTGCTAGAAAAAGTCAGAGGGATAATATTTGCTTCTAGAATCAGCCATTCTTCCCCCATCAGTAGGGTCCTCAGATGCATGAATTTAGATCGTTCAAGTTGGGAAATGAATCTCTTAAAGACCCTAGAGATGTTGCTTCCCTATATGCTCTACTCCCTCCTTCTCCTATTGTTTTTTTTTTTTTTACTATTTTCAAATGTTCCCTCCTTTAAAAAAACTAAAGTAATTCACTTGTTTCATATTTTCCTAAGAGAAAATCAGTATACCAAAAAAAAAATCATATGAGAAATATGTTTTATACTTAGGACCAAAATCAACTCAATAATTACGTTCTATATTAAAGGTAAGAGGGGTATAATTTATTAGATACTGAAATTAGTTAATATTTTTTATTACATGGCCAATAGTTAAAAACTAATTGAAAAGAATCTTATTCTTAGTTTGTATCTGCTCATAAGAAAACTATGACTTCGTCCAACTTCTTCTTTTTTTCCTCCAATTTTTTCTTCTAAATTATTCGTCTGGATTAATCACTTCCTCCCGTCCTAAATATAAGAGCTAGTTGATTAATTTAAGTAAATTTAAAAAGTTAGTTATGTTAGTTATTTATAATAAATAAATATTGTTTTTCCCAAAATATCCTTGTTAATCAAGTGTATTAGTTAGAACTATCATTATTACAATAACTATATTAAAAACATGAATAAATATGAAAAACAAAACCAATTAGAATCTTATATTTAAAATAAATATAAAAGTCAAACGAGTTTTAATATTAATAACTAGTGGTAGTATATTGTTGGGGGTATTGACCCCAGCCCAGACTTTATGTTGGCCCTTTCATAGATTTTTGGTAAACAGTTCAGTAAATTTGACCCAAAAAAAGGCCCATCTTATCAATTCAACTCTTACTAACTCAATTTCTTTTTGAATGTAGCTCACTTTCAGATTTCCTTTATTATTCTCGTTGTTAATCGCCAAGAATGTGTGGATCACAAACACTCTGCATCTAATCAAATTATTAAAAACATGAAATTTATAATTTTACACCATATCTAATGAAGAAGAAAAAATCATATTCTGTTTTTATATAAATAATAACTCATTCTGTTTCATACCCATAGTGATTAAATTGATTGAATGAACTAATATATGGAAGGTCGGAATAGTTTTTTTTTTTTTTGGTAATCTAAGGCAACAGGGCCTTTGGCCCCCCGCGATTCCCCCGATATTCGCCGCTTTTTCTGGGCCCTGACTTTCCACTGGGTTAGGTAAACCCGGGCAACCGACTAATCCGGAGTCGAGGTTTAGTTAGAGCGCATCCTATAGTACTTTGTGTCAAGATGGGTATCTTCCTCTACCGACAAGTGCGCTCTCAAGGTTCGAATACAGGTTCTCACCTTGGAGTCGTCAGCCGCTAACCACTGCGACCAATACTTGTTGGTGAAGGTCGGAATAGTTGGAGAAAAGGAAATATGGAGGGTAAGAATTGGGCCCAGAATATTCTTTTTATTCTCGAGCTTTAGGATTGGGCCTGGGCTTGATGGCTAGGCCCATGAAACCGACTTGATGAAAGAACCACAATGAATAATATATAAATGAATAAATAATTAAGACCGACTTCGCAGGAACGAGCTGAAGGGCAAAGAAAGACAATCGATTACATGGCATTATGTAAGAGGTCGTTCTCGGAACCGCTACGTTACCTGATCAATCATGGATCATGGATTGTGTCTAAATCAATGGTTGGTGTTACTAGTTGCGCAGCCATGAAAGAGGAGCAAGGAATCTTGAAGGATTGAGGAGGTATACGGCCAATCAGACAGTACGGTTCGTTGTACGTCTTCGTTTTTTTACCCCCGAGAAAGCGAGGGAAAAGGGCAACCCAATTCTTGTTGATCTCTCTGCGGCTAATTCATTAATTTCTTGGAAGCTCTGAATCGAAATTGCATGAGCAATTCGGTGGGGGTTGGAGTCGGAGGATCGGACGCAAATTGAGCAGACGAGTGCTCCGAAACATGTCTGCCATAGTGTGTGGGAAGAGATCAAACATATTCGAAGACCTACCTGCATCGTCTCCACCTATTTCTAAGAGGATTCGTTGTTCGTCTTCCTCCCCTGTTCGATTCTCTCCCCCGAGGACTTCACCTAATCTTCCTTCTTCTCAATCGCTTCTCATCGACCACCTCAGTGCTTTATTTCCTGATATGGACAAGCAGGTACTTTTTGCGTTTGGTTTTGATACTCTTTGTTATGACTTCCCTTCCTGTTGAATTTCTTCTATAAATTTTCGATCACGTGTCCCTCTTAGTTTAGGTATTTACGGGATGTTTGATTTGGATGGATTACCCTTTTCCATCGTCGACCTTTCCGATCACACATTCATATTCATTTGTGATGGAATAAGGAGTGGTTGTTTGCATCTCTGAGTGTTATTATCACTCCAGGAAACATAAGCGCTAAGGTCATGCTTTGGATAGCACAAAGTAAATTTTAGGTATTAATGGATTTGCAAGAGCAGAGTTATAGGTTTCAGGAAACATTTAGCTCTGGCAAATTCATGAAATAGTTGAATCCTTTATGGAGTGGCCCTTGCCGCCTATAGGAATATAAATACCAGTATGTGAGTATTTTTCTTTTGTTGGATGAAGTTAATATTTGATTTTAGACGACGATAAATATGTATTTTTATCATGAATTTGGTTAGATGCAGGATGTCATGATTCCTGCCTGTTTGGGTGGGTAGGTTGGTGCTAACATGATATATAAACATATATATATTTTCAACTTATGGGAAGGAACTGTTTATTTACTTACTCGAACGTTGCCTATTACTCATATATATGCCTTGGTAATATTCCTAGTTCTAACCCTTTCGCCAATGTTCTTGCCAGCTTCTTGAGAAAGCACTTGAAGAGTGTGGCGATGATTTGGATTCTGCTATCAGAAGTTTAAATGAGCTTAGGTTAGGATCTGCCGACAAGTCTGTAGACTCTACTGGGGGCATATCTAATGGAATAGTGCCCAATGGTCAACTTCAATCAGAAGGTATGCATCAAAAGTAGTTTATATATGTTGAGCTCACGTGCTAGATTGTGGGAGTTTGTAGTATTCTAATGCGCTGGACGCTTGCATTTCACTTTTCTTGCTGTTATTTTCTTCCCGGCATTATCATCTCTTGATTAATGTGTGGATTCTAACTCTTGATTATCTCTCTAAGTACTGCATCAAATCCTAAGTCATTCTCTTTGTTTGCTGTGAAATTTATGTTTGTTATCCTACCTTCAAAGACCATTAGTTTTAGTTCTGTCTCTGCGTGTATGAGAATTAGGTGAATAGATAGTGAGGGCCGAGTTTGATAGGAAACCCGTCTCTTTATACTGCAGATATCTTGTGAACTTTGAAAATGGTACTGACGATCAATTATAACCTGGAAGAAATTTCTTATTTTAGTAGGCTTAGCTGCTCCACCTTTATATATGTTAAGTACCTTTAAATTTGAAATTTTAATGTCTTAATCCCAGGTCCTGTTAACTTGTGGATAAGAATGTTAAAGTATATGGGTTTGTATCAGTTTATAAATATGATGGAGAAACAATAGTCTTAAAAGGAGAATAGGAACTAATGCTTATAGTGGCACAATTGCTTTGTCCTTGCTCTAACCGAAAGTGCTTTTGCTTTGAAGGGCAAGTTGAAGGTGTCAATGAAAATCATTCAAGAACGTTTTCTTGATACCATAAACTTTAACGATTAAATGATCTCTGACACGTGATCATACATAATTTCAGTTACTGATCTGATGTGGGGGCTAATTTGTTGTTGATGTAGAAATTGCAGCACCTGAGGACGCTGCAGCTAAACAAAATTATCCTATGGATGGCGCTGAATGGGTGGAGCTTTTTGTTAAAGAGATGATGAGTGCCTCAAACATTGATGATGCTAAAGCTCGAGCTTCAAGAGCGCTTGAAGTTTTGGAGAAGGCCATCTGTACAAGAGTTAGTGCGGAGACAGCACAGATCCAGCAGGTCCGTAATTCACTTCCTGATTTGTTTCTCATATGATCAATGTCGTTTCAATACGAAGACGCTCTTACTCATCTCATCATTTTCCGTTGTCATTCATGTCTTCCCATTTGCGTTTACCGTTGAAATCGAATTGCACTTATCGGCCTGTTTGGTCTGCTTCAGGAAAATATGTTGCTAAAGGAACAAGTCGAAGCCCTTATCCAAGAAAATATAGTTCTGAAGCGGGCAGTGGCGATACAGCATGAACGGCAGAAAGAGTACGATGATAGGAACCAAGAGTTACAGCAGTTGAAGCAGCTAGTGTCTCAATATCAGGAACAAGTTAGGACTTTAGAGGTGAACAACTATGCCTTGACGATGCACCTAAAGCAGGCACAACAAAGCAATTCCATCCCCGGGCGTTATCATCCAGATGTTTTCTAATCACCTTGGATGCGTGTTTCTTGGTTCTTCCCAGAGTCTGAATAATCACGAAGAAGCAACAGAGCAATGATTTTTGGGAATTCTTTGTGAAATGCATGGATCTTGTCCCCGCCCTTTTTTGACATTCCACCCCATGTTTACCAATGGAGATTTACATTACCCTTTGCTTGTTCTAAATTTAATATTTTCTTATTGGAATTTGAAATATACAAGTCCATTGTGGTTGTATAGTGCTATTATGTTTGTGCCAGCATCCTTGTTATACAATATTCTTCCCTATCATCCCATTTTCCATGAGAAGCATCGGTAACTTCTCTTGCAAATTTTCCTTCCCCCTCGTTTAATGGAGAAAAAGTTAAAAAGGAATATTGACATGATTATATTTGATTGAATTGTTTTTAGAAATATGGATATCCTCTTATGAGATGTAATTCTGTTTGAGGCGTGCTAATGTACTTTTTCATTCAAATTCTAACTCCCAGAGAGGTGAATTTTTCATATTATACTAAATTTGTGCACGCTTATGTTGAGGTGTTGTAAAGCCCGGCCCATTTACCTGAATTAGAACTGATGGATCAGATGTGATCCGCGATAAGTGAGTGCCACCCTCTTCGTGGAATCTGATTGGGCTGGGCCCTTTCCTCTTTTTGCATTATGTTGTACCCGGAATCATCCCATTGCCTCCGCTCTCCTTCGCCACTAATGAACATGATTTGTTCGGAAACAGGATTAACGTATGTTGCTTGCACAGCATATAAGCATGTTTAAAAATATAAAATCAAAATATCAATATATGTAAGACGTCCCAGCCTCTAATTTCTGGTCACATTGCTTTCGTTTACACCAGCAGAAGACAGCAGGGGATTCAACCAAAAGTCCCCAACGATAGGCCGTCAAAATATCTCTCTTTCGGTAACAAATCAGGCATCACAGCGAATAAAACATACGAATTTTCAAGTACTGATGAAATTATTTGAGTTATGCACGTGTGCGTGCCTTTTGAAGGCTTTATGTATGCATTTGAAATAGAATAATCACACACCCATCCACGCAAATGAACAATCCTCCGCTCGAAAGAATTCTGTGTGTCCCAAGCATTATAATTACCAAAATTCCAGTGGAACGATAAAATATCTGTCAAAAAGACTGAAGAAGATTTGATTGTGGAAATAATCAAAATATATGTACATATTTGCTGCATATGTACATTGTGCACCTGGTCTCACTGCTTTCCCAGAAACTGTACCTCTTATTTCTGAACTCATGTTCACTCTATGGAGGGCCATCTTCTTCATCTGCATAGTCACTTTCATAACAGTTCATTCTGTGACTGTGACTGTGTTCATCAAACCCCGTCACATTCATTTCCCAGTACCACTTGTCCCTACTCTCTTTAATCCCTTTCTTCCCACTTCCCTGATCGTGACACTAACATTTCCACTTTTGACACCTTCTCTCTCTCTCTCTCCCCCCTAATTACCACAATAAGCATCGTTCTTATATACAGACGCTAAGCTTAATGAAGAAAGGATGGCTTTGGGTTTAGAAAGGGATCTAGGGAGCTGGCTTAGCTAGTAGGGTTATGCAATACGAACCACAGCAGATTCTGAATTCTGCAAACATATCTTTGAGCACGTGGGGCGGCATCTACGTGAAGATCACCGAAAACTGATAAGAACCAAACAAGGTATGTGTCTGTCAGTAATATGTATAAGTGTGTGTGAGGTGACGAAAGGGAATTAGAGGAACAGTGGAACAAAAGGGACTTGGCGATGGCATACATATAAAATGGAGGACCCTCATCAATTATGTTCTTTTCTGTTGTCTCTGACGACGTCCCTTTAATTTGGAGCCCTCAAGAATTCAAAAGACATAGCATCTTTCCAATGCACACACATATAACGAAGAAGCTTGTGAGGTTGAGACAGCACATATATTATATATAGCTAGCCTAGCTGGCTGTGAATTTGATTAATAGACATCAAATCATTCACAAAATAATTATATATATAAGGTGTTTTCAGAGAGAGGGCATATAGTACCATATAGCTAGCTGAGTAGGCCTCACAAAGGCCACTCACCTACCTTGTCTCTCAGTTCCATGTGCTTGCTTCATGTCCCACTTATCATCAAATCACACAATAACAAAGCCAATTATATGTGGTAATGACCCGCTAAACAACGTTAATTGTTGTCAGCTATCCAGATTTTGTAAAGCTCTTTAGGGGCTGGAGTTATATATGAAGAGATTGTAAGTGTCACTTCGCCATGAGGTCATCTTTTTTCTGTGTGTGTGTGTGTGTTTTGCCAAAACTCGCAGGCTCTACCATCTACGCTTTTTTTGGGTGTTGAGAAAGGATGCAAAAGAACAAATTTCACAGATTGTGGGATTGTGAGATCAGACATAGCCTCAAGTGCAGATGACATGCAAGGATATTGGATAAGTTGGGGAATCTGGCTGGATATTGTGCGAGAGAAAAGATGAAATTATTTACTCTATGAACGATTTCACTTTTTCAAATTCGTTCTTGACTCTGAACGAATTTTTTAAAAGAGCAAATCCATTCTTGATTTGAATGATTAAAATACTTCTCAACATATAAGATTCAGTTTTTTTTTTCCCACTCTTTATCGTGTTCTGCAAAATACTTTCCACCATATTTTCTTATGGAAGTAACACAATGTTTGCGTAATAATAACAATAAATGATCAACTTAATCAATTTTTTTGTCTTTGAAGTATTATGTAAGTGGGTTTTATATTTAGGATTAGAGGGAGTTTTTTTATTACAGAGATTTTTTCTTTACAGGGGATGGAGAGTTGAAAAACAGAAAATTTTAAAAAGAACACTGGGTTGCAAAGGGAGAGACGGGTATGCATGTGATCGACCATATCTGAACATTTCCTTATTTTGGGGCCCTAATAATAGGCCTCTTTTTGGGCTGGGCCCCCCTCTCCTCTCTCTTGTCCTCAAACTTTCATTTCAATTTTTTTTTAATGAAGTTACATTTTGTTATTTTCAGATGAATATTTGCCTCCCTCATGCTACAATTTTACGTTATTACTAATAGAAGTTAGGTTTAACAGAATATCTATCGGGAGAAATGCCTACGTTTTGTACTTGACAATATTTTGAACAAGATCGTTTCTAATAGAAAAATACATATTGATAGAAAAAGACAAAAATCCTACATTATTTACCCCTCCATTCACTATTTCCTCTTTCCTTTAAAGTTTTTTTTATATACATAAATTTTAGGAAAAGGGTTGGACTCACCTACGATCAAAAGACAGGGCACCTAATACTTAATCTGTTGGGGCCTGTCCCTACGGGCATGGGAGCATGACAAGTAACCTTTTTTTTTTAGCCTAATAGGTAGAAATCTCCCAACTTTACTACGCTATGATGATGCTCTCTCAGCGCTATGACTGGAGTTACAAAAAAGTGACACTCCCCAAGATCAAACTCCTTCTTTTTGGTGAGAGAGTCCGACTCCTTTGACAGCTGAACCCACGAATGAATGGTCTTTAAAGTCTAATTAACTTCTATTTTTTATTATAGAATAATAGAGATAATCATGGAGACAATTGATAAAAGGATATTAAAAAATTAATAAAATGTTATATTAATTACATTTTTAGTAATGTGTATAAATGAATGCACAAATAAAAGGATGAGAGAGGCCAGATAACCTTGTAGCTTATCTTGACCCAAAAAAATAACCTTATAGCTCAGTAACAATGTAACATAAAAGTTTTTTGTCCATAAAAAGGAGACTATAAATTCCATCTTACTTACTCTTCTGGTCCTTAATATAGGACTTAATTCTTGAGTTAGTTTTGGTCCTAAATATAAGACCTATTTATCATTTTTATCAATTTTCTCTAAATTACCCCTATAGATGTTCCTTCAACTATAATCAAGTAGAAGAGGGAGAGGGGTATTAAGAAAGATGATTATGGTATTTTAGGAAAAATGTGTCCCTTTTTTTATAATTAACTAACTTATCTAACTTTTTTAATCTAATCAAATTAGTTAAATAGGTCTTATATTAAAGACTGAAGGAGTATAATCTTAAACTGGACGCCTCTAAACAAGAGGGAGTTTGGAGGGAGAGAGACGGTGGGTGATGCATGAGGGCGACAGGAGAAGGGGAGATATAGACAATGGCTCCCTATCAAGGGCCCGTCGGGGATGAGAGCCAACAGCTTTAAGGGGTTGGAGCCTGAGGGGAGGATCACGTGGTGCTAGATGCAAGGGCGTTAGCATGGTCCCTATCCCGGTCATTGTGGACCCCACTCATTCACAGCATCCGCGTGATCGCCACCGTCCCCATTGTGTACACTTCATCATCCTTCCTCATTCCTTCGCCCTCCCTACCTCTGCCACCTCCGGCTCTAGTCCTCCGCTCTTCCTTTCCCCCGGCCGCCCTTTACAAACGCATGTAGAAGCTTTTATCTATTTCATTTCAGAGATTTTTTTTTTTTTTTGCGATCAATATGTAGAGAGAATTTGTTTTTCCGAAACATTCCTTCCATTTAATTCGATTGTTAGCTTTTTAATTATTTAAATTTTACAAATTATACATTCAATAGAAGTGACACTTTTAAAAAAATGTCACAGAAGATAAAGATGAATATGATCTTATTTTTAATTTACTCAAATTAATTAATTAAGTTTTCCAATGAAAATCAGAGAGCATATTGCAAACAAAATAAAGTCTATCTCAATTTTAGAATTTCTTAGGCTTTTTACTGTAATTAAATGGGTGTCTCGGGACTCAAGTGTAGTTATTATTGATAAATAATGTCATTCCTTATAATTTTAGGACAACATTACATGATAGACAAAAGTATATCTAAATTATAATAGAATAGAATAAAATAGAATAGTTCTTAATGTGCGATGAAGAATAGAAGAAATCTTCATGTGGGTGAGACGAGGTTAAGTACCAGACAAGTACGGGAAAATCTTGAATTAAATAGATTGAACTTCAAAAAAAATTTTGCCAACTTATTTTTCTTTAGTTGAAATTTGCCAACTAGACTTCAAAATTTAGCTTTTGAATTGAATATAAAATATGATTTAAATTGATTTTAAAACCTTTTTTTTTTAAAAAAAAGAAGGATTTTGCGGAGGAGAGGGAAGGTCCGTACGAGAGCGTATGATTAGATTTAGAAATTTAGAATAAAAATGAAGGAAGCAGCTCGTGCGCCTGAATCGTCAACATCATTCATATGGTAAAATGCCTCTCCCGTGGGACCTTCCTTTTCAATCTCTCTCTCA